CACTTTTAAAAGATCTTAAAGACCCTGAAAAGCTTTTGCTTATGTGGCTTCTATCTGTTGATATTTACTGGATTAGAAGTCAAAACCGAGAGAAAACATTTGCTAATTCATAATGAACTAATTACATGTGAAAGCAAATAACATATTTTCAATAAAAATAACTATGTTTTCCAAAACATTTTAATAGGAAAGGTGGCAACAATGTGAAATCTGAAATCATATCAACGAACTTTTTGTGTTGTTACATCAAAAACCATTGGTCTATCTTACGCTCCTAAATGAATTTGGTTTTTTTGTCCTGTGGATAATTTTTGATATCGAGCATTATGATCTTTATTTTTTTAAGAGAAAACCAAATGAAAGTTTCTACTTAGTGGCAACAAAAAGAAAGGTCAATGCAGGAAAATTAGAGGTGGCATAAAAGAGCAAGGTGATAAAAGTGGTAATGGGGAATGATGGGAGAAATTTGCAGAACTAAGGACATCTGAACTACTGTTAGAGGAAAGGAAAGAAATCAAGACTTCATATTTTTTTTAAAAATTAGCATTTATGGAACATTGCCCAGGTGCTTAATAGAATTATCTCATTTAATCCATTTTCAATACTGTCTGTGATGTAGGATGTATTATTCTTGTCTCACAGGGAAAAGGGAAAGTGCGTGAGGATGCAGAGCTGTGAAATGGTGGGACTAGACTGAAACCAGCTACATCTGACACAGCAGAGTGCAATCTTTTAAGAAATGTGAGTTTTAAAAATCCCAAAAATAATATATAAAATTTTTAACAAAGAAAAATAAAAGATAAAACCTCCTGCTCTTTGCTCCCCACTCCTCCCCATTTCTACTGATGAGAGTAATGGTCAACACAAATACGATATTTTCACCAAACTGAAAGCCCCTGCTCTTAACTGTTCCACAAGCTTCTTTACAAGCAATGAAGGACACCAAAGTTGATCCGTAACCCATATTGGTGATAGCAGAGCCACAAGGGCTGAGAAAATTCAAGGCACTAGTACTTTAGTGCTAATTATGTTTACACCATTACGTGTAGATTTCAGGTTCTGGCTACTTCCTAGACCTTCTTAGAGTCATGGATTCCAAGGAATTTTCTGGATCGTTTTTTCACTGTTGTGGGAGAGAGAAGAAAAGAGAATACAAAGGGCAAACAGCATAGAAAAGGAGATGAATGGTGAGTGCAAAGATGCAAGCACTCTGACAGCCCTCAGGTGGATAAACAGAAGTGCCCAGGGAAAAGAGAGTGGCCAGGTGACCAGTTACAAAGGCGACCAATCCTTGCCTCCTAGTGAATTCTTCCGGAAGTTAGATGCTGGGTAGTGAGAAGTCAATTATGAACTTACCTGTTTTTTGCCCTTCCAGACATTACTAAAATGAATTTCTTGGTTATCATTTTAACTTACTTCAGAAGTATCAGGCAAACTACCTACCTATTATCTATTAAAATAGGATGTGTTCCATTTAGTTCTTTTTATAGAGGAGGGGGATGTCTTTCTTATTTATTTTTGACTTATGAAGCTTTTATTACCAGGGGAAAAGCTGTGCCTGTAAAAAAAAAAAAAAAAAAATCTCCTCTGTAAAGTAACGGTCATTGTCAACTGTCTGCTGAAGGAGCCATCAGACTATTAAAATAAAGTTGTAACTTGAAGCTCAGTGCAAAAGACTATGCCCCAAATCAATTTTACATCCACAACCAAGAGAAACGCCTAAATGTTTCAAAATTACAGTGCCGAAAGCACTTCTTTTAAAATATTCATCTTAGGAAGAGCCTGTGAAAGGGGATTTTTGTTCTCTTTGATTGAGTCAGTCTCACTAATAATAATGCTTTGGTCCCTCAAAAAGCCCCCGAAGAGTATTTTTCAATTTACTCATTTGATTTGTTTATTCAGTACTTTTTACATTTCTTAAACTTTTTTTTCCTTCAACTTTTCTCTCACAGCAGTATAATCAAATTGAAATAACCCGAAGGACAAACTTACTTCTCTCTCTTTTTTTAATTCCCTGATTACCCCAGCCCCCAACTCCTATTTCTCCAACCCAAATCCCTAAAGGAAAATGATGAAGGGAAAAAATAAGGACGGTTTTGGGACGCCTTTCTACCGCTTAGAGCTCACGATAGTCACAGTAGATCAAGAAAGGACTGGTTCTAGGTACTTCAGGCCTCTCCCAACAGCAACTCTTGCCCAGAAGCTTGAGCAATTTGAACTGATTCATTGGGACTTACTAGAAACTGGCCCCTTTCTTCTTTTTTTCATAACATAATTCTTGACATTGGACTTTTTACAGAAACCATGGAGCAAAAAATTCTCGAGAAAGTTTTTTTTCTTCTCTATAAATTATCAGATTATCAAGTGCAATAAAAAATGAGTTTGCAGAGAACAACATTCTGGGTATGTGAGTCAGTGAAAGCACACCCTTATTTGGGGTGGGAGCAGAGTAGGGGCAGAAAATCTGTGGGTTTGCCCCTGAAGTGTCCTGAAAGAATATAATTATAGTAACAAAATATTTTTTATTTATGAAAATGTGCCCTAATATTTCCTTGTTTATTCAAATGCTTTTTCTTATCTGTATTCACCACAAATATAGTCTTTTTTTTTTTCTTTTCTTTCTGTTTCTGTTTCTGCTCTGGTGGGGCACATCTCTCTCACTGTTTTAATCCAGGCATTTCAAAACAGGACCTAGTCTTAAAGACTGGATTCCTGAAATGTCCCACCTGTTTAAAGTGTCCCCATTTGCCGAAGCCTCCTCTCCCTTTTGCTTTAGTTATCAGTAAGCCTTTACGGGCATTGTTCACTGCCTTAGAAAGGTTGCTTAAATATTATCACATTTATTACTGACGGCAATCTTCCAAGGTGGCCACTGTTATTACCCCATTTTGTAGACAGGGAAACTGAGGTGGAGTGTGGTTGCACAGGGTCACTAGTCTGGGGGGTGGCAGAGCTTGGATTCCAAGCTTGGTTCTGCAGACCTTCAGGTTCACCTTAACAAGATACAACAATGCCTCCTTTTCTCGAAAAGGACCTCATTTCCTGGAAGCTTTGGAAAAGATCTTGACTCAGAGCTGGCTTCGAGCAGACACTCCACCCCCAAGAAGCCTGGCTTCCAATGCTTACAAAAGGCCTGAGTGCCTTTAACCACCGTGATGAGGTTTTCTGTCACTAGTTACTCCCAAGTTCTCCTTTAACCAGAGCGCCCTGCTGAAACCCCCTGCTGACTTCTGCCACTGAAGACTGGATCCCCACGGGGTATGAACAAAAGCCCAAGAAAATGGTGCCAGAAAGCAGTTCTCCGGAGCTTGGGTTCAGTTTAGTTCAACACAGGAAACCATGTTCCCTCACCTCACTCTCACCTCCTAAACTCCAGCTGTATTTTCTCTGGGCAAGAAAACTGCCTTTCAATTTCATAAAATAATGGACACACCCCAAATCAGGCAGTTGTTTAGGTAGTTCTATCCTTCACACTTTTCTAAATTTTCTAAAGTTTCTACAAAGAGAATGTTCCTTTAAAAAAGACCTGTGTTTAAAAAACCATGTGATGGGTTTCCCAAGTTATTACTTCCTGCGAAAACTGCAGGTAGTTACGTCAAAAAGTCTATATAAACAATATTTGAAAAAAAGAAGAGTTCGACAAGTACAAATTGGCGCCTTGTTGTGGTTTTATTCTGCTAGTTAGACCTGAGACCCATCCTCCACTCCCGGTATGTGGGCTGTAGGGGGTTCTTGAACTACTTGCAATTCTTGGCACTGGAGTGTGTTTTAGGCTGGAGAAATCGTCGTGTGTGTGTGTGTGTGTGTGTGTGTGTAAAAGAAAAAAGTGCACATATATTACTTTGAAGAGTGTATACCTTTCAACGTGGCTCAGGCCCCGAAAGATTCTTAGGGCCTAACAAGCCTCCAGTTCCTGCCTTCCAGTAACCCTTGCCTTGAGAAGATGAATCTCAGAGAGTTATGCTTGAAGTTGCAGTGATCCAAATGTGAATCAACCCCCTCGGCCGACAATGACCTAATCCCCGTCCAGAGCCAAGAGAGCACCTTTAAATTAATTCCCAGACCAAACTCAGTCAAGGGCAACAAAGACCACATTCGGACGCCCCAGGGGCACTCGGTTTTCACAATGCGTTTTATTATTCATACAAAAATAAATTTATTTACATTTGCTAATTACTGCGGTAGTGCGGCCTGGCGCAGCGGCGCGTTCCCCCGGAGCAGGGTCACTAGGTACGGAACAGCCTCGGCGGCCCGCCCCGCCGGAGGAAGAACGTGGACGCCGAGAGGCAGTGTTGGAGGCGGGGGCCACCCCGAGCGGGGAGGCCAGCTGGGGACGGTCAGGAGTGTGGGGGGAGGGGAGCAGAGGGAGGCGCCGAAGGAGACCCGAGCCGGCTTCAGTGGGGAGAGCCGGATGGGAGGCTCAAGCCTAGAAGGGGAGGGGGGAGACGGAAGCCAGGTTACGGAGAGATGGGCGCCTGGGGGGAGTGAGAGGCGTGACCGCACCTGAAAGCCGAACCGCCAGGGCCACTCCTGGCAAACCCAGCTGAGTTGGTCTCAGAAAGCGCGCCTCCACCTCTCCCCGAGCGGAGACGGCATCGTGCGCCCTTCAGGAGGGCGCTGCCCCGTGGGATACAAACCTGGCCCAGGTGTGCCACACTCTCTTTGCAACTTAAAGACGCGCCCCAGGTAGGTCTCACGTGAAGACCTCAGTCTTCGAAGCCGATTGTCGAGAGCGCGCTCTAACAATTACCTAACCGCGAAAGGCCTGGGCTGCGCGGACTCGTGCCATCACCCACGTAGATCTGGCTGAGCCTGGGAACGAACGCCTAGGCGGCTGCGCGCTGGGCTCAAGCTGCAGCGCCGGCGTTAGTCTACACTGCTAAAGCCCGAGGTTGGAGCTGGGTCCGCGTGTAAAGTGTCGTCGCCCAAACCCGCGGCAGCCCAGCCGTCCGCATCCTGCGATGACGGCCGCGCCGCGGAATCCTGGGGCTCTGCACCCCATGCCCGCCACCTGTCGAGTTCACAGTCCCGGGGTGGGAGTCTAGTAGAATCCAATGGAACTGTCCTCCCGTTCTCGGGGGTTCTCAAGCTCTCTCCCTTCTCTCCCTGACCCCCAAACACACTCGCTTAACCAGTAATCCCTTCAAGTAAGTTCGAGTTCGATCTAAGCGGTGGTTCCACATAATCTGTTGGCTGCGGAAACTTCTTTGGTGTCAGAGTCGGGTCGTCCCGAGACCACAAATGGCCATGTCTGTAAAATCAAAAAGAGCATCAGATACTGGAGGAGAAACGACCGTTTCAAACCGAAACCGCTCTCCAGACGGAACTCTGGAATATCCCCGGCTTTGAGTAGCTCAGATTTTATCAGTATTCTGGGAATCTGCGTGTCTTCTCTCTAAACTAAGATTTTTAACTTTACTGTATTTTGATCACGTGAGACGGGAGGTGTCCGTCCATGCTGCCCTCACGATGATTCCGCGAAATTTGCATGAATTTGTAATTTTGTCGCTTAGTTCCCTTCCCCCCAACACGCACAGCGGCACGCACGCGCGCGCGCACACACACACACACACACACACACACAGAGACACACACACACACCAATCAGCCATTCGCTCCAAGGAGAAACTGGGATACGATCTTTCTCAAGCCTGGAGAATTGGCAGGTCGGAGAGGGACTTTCCAGACAAATCCCGTTTGGGGAAACCTCTGCTGTTCTTCAAGGATTGAAAAACCCAAAGGCTTTTCGAAGCGAGATCGGCCTTCCCTCCCTCCTTTCAGAAAGTAAGGCTTGTTGATTCAAACCTGTCTGACGCTTAGCTGGAAAAAGCTAGGAAGGGAGATTTGCCAATCAATCTACAACGGGACAGAGGACTCAGATGGAACTTAGATTTAGCCCGGAAGCAGGATACTAGACAATAGCTGTCACTGGGTGATGCAAACACAGAAGGGTGGATGGTCCTCCTCCAGGAAAATGGCTGGCCCCTCCGGTGATCTGGGAGAAACTAAACTGGCCTCCTCACCACCCATACCGGAACCCCCCTACCCCCGGTTTTCCCCAGCGGCCAGACTCTGCCCGGCAACCGTGAGCGCGCCGGGCATCTCTCGGCCGCCCGCCCCGGGCCTCGCGCGCCGGGCCCCTACCAGGTTCACCGGGTGCACGTAGCCGTTCTCGTAGCGGTCCTCCTGCAGCAGCTGCCGCAGGTGCGCGATGTAACTGGAAGCCAGCCGGAGCGTGTCCAGCTTGGAAAGCTTGGTGTCGGGGGGCACCCAGGGCAAGCTGGTCTTGAGCCTGGAGAAGGCTTTGCTCAGCACGCGCATCCGAGCGCGCTCGCGGGCGTTGGCCGCGTTCCTCTGCGACTGCTTGCACTCGGCCGCCGAGCCCTTGGGCGGGAGGGGCTTCTTGCCCCCGCCGCCCCCCGCCACCCCGGGCCGCTTCCTCTTGCAGCCTCCGGCGCCGCCGGCCGCGCCCAGCGCACTGCGCTCCTCCTCGCCGTCGGGGTCTTCCTCCTCCGCGGACGAGTTGTCACTGGGCGAGATGTAGCTGCACTCGGCGCCGCGGAGGGGCGGCCTCTTGGAGACGGGGACCGGGTACCCGCGCTGCAGCTCCCGCAGCTCCATCTCCTCGGGGTCGCTCCCCGAGCTGGTGGACATCGCCGTGTCCCCCACGCCCCCGCCTTCCGCCCCCAGGCCAGTCTCGCGGCCTCCGCCTTCCGCTCCCTCGCGGAGGCGGGGGCCAGGCTGAACTCCGGTGAGGACCAGAGACCCGGGTCGGGAAGCGCGGAACCCAGAGAACGAGCCCCGCTGCTGACCCGGGAGAGCGTGGCTGAGAGAAGTCGTCGCCCGGGCCCAGGCTCGGCGCGCGGCGCCTTTTGACAGGACTATTTATCTGTACTCCTCGGAAGAAACCACCCAGGGCAAAGAAGAGGGGGTTGGAAAGGGGGGCAAGAGGTGGGGCGGGGGCGTGGAAGGGGTGGGGACCATTTTCAGAGTGTAGAGGATCTGCTGGTGGGGGCGGGGAAGGGACGTCTCTGTTGAGCCGGGATTTGGGCCTCTGTCCCCGACGGACCCATCAAGTGCGAGATGACTGTGCGCAGGGTGAGTGAAGGAGGGGACCTTGTTCGTACCCATGTACCCGTCCCATTTCCACCCCGCGACTGATCTTAGCGATGGCGAAGGTTTCCAGACACGTGGAAACCCCAGGATCGCGACCTCTTCTTCTTTCCCGAGTCTTTTCAGCAGAACAGTATTTTCCAAGTTCATCACTCATAACGTCTGACTGCCTATTCAAGCCTGGCCCGACAAAAGAGTAAAAGCAGAACAAGCAAGCAACACCAAACAGTCTGCGAGTTACCTCTCATTTCCCTCCCCTCCTTTCCTTTAACTTCGCTGTATGATTTACAGAGCGCTTTCATCTACATTGGTTCCTTTCATTTTCAGACATCTGTGACTTAAATGTTATTATCTCCACTTTGCAGAACTTGAAGCTAAGCCGCAGAGATAGATATTAAATAAAGGACCCCAAATCAACAGGCTGGTAAGTAGAATATGGACTCAAAATCCGTGAGTAGAATCCCTGGCCCCTCGGTATTCCAGTCGCTACACGCCTCCCCGCCGCACAGCACAGATGCTTATATCTGCTATTTTTTGCTGTCTTGAGAGTTCCATGTGTTAATTTTGTTTTTAACACCACTGTGCGTAAGATAGAGGATCCTGCCCAGCGGTTGAGTTATAGTCTAGGGACTCGATGACTATTTTAGATGGTGTGTTGAAGAGCGCGCTCCTGGATGCAGAATGTAAGTCAACACAATCGTCCAAAGTAAAAAACAAAAACAAAAAAAACCCCGACAAAACGGCACCCAGAAGTATGCCCCTCAAAGGAGACAAACCATAACTGCGGTCTTAGCGTTTTCTCACTCGAAGGGGCTTTGCAATACGTGGTCTGGGGATGTGTACTTCATTTTGGAAGCGGACACGAATGGCCAGCTATTGAATGCCTGCTGTGTGCCAGGCACTGCATTAGGCGCCCTGTGCCTGCCCACTGAGTAATTAAAACAAACACACAAAACTAAAACAACAACAAAATAATTCAAACCCCATGAGATTGGGTTGGCGTTAGTTACTCCGTTCTGAGGAAACTGAATCTTCACACCCGAATTAGGTGTTTACTGTCCTTTCCCT